ACTGTTGTATTACTTTTGTATATAAATAAAGGCAAGTGCAGGAACAAAGCGCAAATCACAGGGCCCCCACTCTGGTGTGAGCGTTCTGTGATCGCCCTTGCAAGTAAAAACTGCAGCATCTGTGTGTTTCTACCTTTAGATTCTTAGCTGAAGAAGTGTCTTTAGAATAAATCTCTTGACACAAGGAATGAACAAACACAGATGTACATTTAGGAGGCAAAGAGGACAAATAGGCAAGAGTTTATTTTTCATGTACGTTTATAAAGAGTGCGTTTAATGTATATCACGATCTAATAACTTCAATTAGAAAACTGAGAAATATAGTGATGGACTGACTTCTTTATAGGTGTGGTGGTATGGTTTGTGACTCGGCTGGAGAGGAGGGGTGGAGTAGCAGGTTTACAGTGTCGTGTCAGGGGGATGCTTCTTGTCACAGCTGGCGAACATCTTCTAATCATGCCTTCCCTATTTTAGTAGCTGCCAGAGCCGGAGAAGAGAAAGAGCAGAGACTCGGAGCTGACGGAGCAAAAGCATGAGCAGCGTTAACGAGCCGTTAAGCACCGAGAGCGAGGGTGTTTGAGGATTTGCTGTAAAGCAATTAGGACTGTAGAAGTATCATGTGGGGAAGTGGGAGAAATTCTCAAACACGAGCATAAACAACATATAGCTGAGTCATGTAAGGTCATTTCACAATATGCCATAATAGCTTATCGTGATACTCATCTCTTAACACTCTACTGTTAATACAACATGTTAACATGTTAACCTTCACCTGCGACATGTTGGGGGTATTTTTGGTATTTTGCAGTATGAATAATTGATTCTTGATATCCTCCTGTTGACATCTGAATCTCAATGAGATTAACTGAGCACAAAGATTCAGTTGATTTATATTTTTTTAGAAACACGTATTGCAGACATTTCTATTAATGTGAACATTAATCAGGATTAGTTTTCTTAAACATTCCTGATTATTAAGGAGTATATTTGCAGTGCTGCAGCTATTTGAAGTTCGTATGCTCTGACAATGAACAGCTATGGGTAGAAGGTGGGGGAGGGCAGCTGAAATGAGCTAGGCCACCATCTGGCCTTATAATTATATGCTGGGAATAGAAAAGAGCAGATATTGTCGCACACAGCACTGCTAATAATCTCCACTTGAACAGTAGACTGTTGAATCTAAGCTAATATGTCATGTCTGATGTCATAATGTAAATATACAGTCAAGATTCTGCAAAATGACTGATGTCTGTGTATTTGACTCAATGATATGTAAAGCAATTTATAATGCTTGTGTAATGTGTTTAATCAATCAGTCAATCAAGTACTGATATTACTGATCTCAGCCCATTATGTGTATAGAGCACGCTTCTCCACAGAATCAATTTCTTCTATTCCAGCGTCTCCACCACCACGAATGAGACCAAAGAGCTGTCAAAGGACATCAGGGATGAGAATGTAGAGTTGCACACGGCTGGAATGGACTATAAGAACATCAGCAGGAAGCGTGGTGACATGGTGACCACTGCTAGCGTGATTATTCGGAAACAGGAAATATAAAATGACCATCAATCACCTTCTGTCTTAAGGTGGGTCATTCCAAAACTACAAGGGATAAGCTTGTTTATTATATGAAGGGAAGTTAGACCACAGTCACCAAGACGACCACATAATGGAGTGAAATCATGGCGCACCCATAGGGTCCAATCACCCAAGAAGGTGCATGTACAGGCCCATCTTTAGTTTGCCTGTGAACATCTAAATGATTTAGAAAAGGCGTGGGAGAAAGTGCTCGACCCTCTGTGTTTGGAGGAAGAGGGATGATGTTCTTTGGATCACACTCATCATTTCTCTTCCTCCAAACACAGTAAAGTACAGACATGTAGATTAAAGACGTGTAGATGAGAACCTCCTTCAGAAATCTCCAAAAGTTGATTCGCATAATGACTGAATGTACTGTTTATAAGATTGGGGAAACCTGGAGTCAGCTGAGACTGAAGAAGTCACTTGGATGAGTGACGAAACGTTTCTCCCAGAAAACGCTACGTCCAGATGAACAGAATCAACTTTTGGAGATTTATTTTCCTGGATGATTGAGAATGCATCAAGACCTCCTTCAGAAATGTTATATTGAGCTGTGAGTGGGTCACCATGGCAGTGATCCAACACATACAAAGGCAGTAAAGGAGTGTCTAAACAAGAAACACGTTAAGCTCATGGAGTGGTCTAGCCAGTCTCCACACCTCAGCCCTGTAGAAAATCTGTGGAGGGATCTTAAGTTTCAAGCTGCCAAACAGCAGCCAAGATACCTAAAGGATTTCTGTAAAGGG